CGGTCCATCCCCGGGAAAGCGCCGTCCCCGGAGGACCGAAGCGGGGGTGGGGGCGTGCGGGGACACAACGGAAGCGTTGGGCACGCCGAGGGTGACGCAACGGCTGCCGGGGGAGTGAGGGGCAGGCAGGGTCCCCCGACAAGGCGGGGGAGGCGCAGGACACCTCCCCGGCGCCGGGAGGGCGAGAGTCGAGGGCTGGCACGGCCTGGCAGCCGAGTAGGCCCGGGCCGGGAGTGGCACCGGAGGGCGGTGCCCGTTGTCCGGTGCGGCGAGCGCGGGCCGCGGGACCCCTCCGGGCGAGAACCCCTCCCCCGCCACGGGCACTGACCTGTCCAGGGCCCGGCTGGGCCTGGCCGGGCGGGGCCTACGCAACCCCTCGGCCGGGCGCCGCCTCGCGCGGGGTCCCGGGCCCAGGCGGGCCGCCTCCTCTCCGCCGGGAGCCTCCGAGCCGGGGCCCGGGGCTGCCGCGGCGCATCCGACCGCACCGGCCGAGCCGGCGTCCACAAAGGGCGGCAGAGGCGCGAGGCCGGGGTGGGGGTGCGGGCGGCGGCGGATGGCGCGCGCGCGCGGCGGGCGCTCTAGGGCTGCAGCCGCCGCGGAGACAATGCGGCGCGTCCCGGCAGGGCTCCCGCGGCCGCCTCCGCCGGGGGCGGGGCCTGGGCACGCGGGGCGGGGCCTCCGGGAGGCGGGGCGCGGCCTCCGGGAGGCGGGGCGCCGGCGCGGAAGCCGGGCCGCGCGCTTCCTTTGTGCGGCCGCGCCGGCCCCGCCCCCGCGGCGCCCACGGGAAGGCGCCGCGAGGCCGGTGGCCGGTTAGAGACGTCACGGTGAGGTTTCGGGAGGCAGGCGCTGCGCCGACTTCCGCCCTCGCCCCGTCAGAAGTCCCCAGTGCGGTGATGAACTGTGACTCCCGCCTGGCCAAGTCGGAGGCAGGAAGAATAACGACTAGCACTAATTGAGTGCTTAATTTGTGTCAAGCCCTACATGCGCGCGCTCTCCTCTCACTTAAAAGAGTTCACAATAACCCCACAAGTAGTCATTATCTTCCCCACTGGGAACTGAGTATCAGAGAGGTTAACTAATGACCAAAGTGACCCAGTTACACCTCCATAAACGGGGATAATACCTCTTCTTTAGGCTTACTATGCAGGTTAACTGAGGGCATTTACACAAATTGCCTGCAGTGCCTGGCACACAGTGGGAGCCCAGTAAACGTTCTTTTCCTAAACCACGCTGGTTTGAACTGTGGGGAAGCACCTTCATTCAGTAGACGTGCTAGAGCTTGTGAGACCTTCACAAGCCCCGACCCCCCACGCCCAGCTTTATGCTGAATAGATGATCCGAATTCCTCTCCCATACTTGACTTCTATTTCCAACATCTTCTCATATCCTTACCTTTCTTAGCATTCATTCGTCTCCCCATCCCTTTCCCCTCAGGCCTCATCTCTTTTTGTTTCCACATTTTACATTTATTTTATATTCTCTGATGGTTTACTTCGCTCTCTTTTTCTTTCCCTCCCCCCCCCGCCCATTTTTCAATGCCTTTCATTAATATTCACATTTCCTCCCCCTTTCTGTCCTTACATTTCTTACACTTATATTTTGTTCTATAAACATGCCCACACTACTCCCTCCCTACTTTTATCTACTTCACTAGTCCCTTCTGGAATACCATCTGCTCAGCTCTACCTGTCCAGGTCCTACCTCTCCTAAAAGTCTAGACTCAAGAAAAGTAGCTGGCAAACTTTTTCATTAAGAGATCAGATAGTAAATATTTTAGATTTTGTAGGCCACGTGGTCTCTATTGCAACCATTCAACTCTACTGTTGCATCAGGAAAACGACCACAGACAACACTACATGAAATGTATGTGGCTGTGTTCCAATAAAACTTTATTTGTGGACACAGAAACTTGGATTTCTTTTTTTTTTCTTTTTTTTATTAGTTGGAGGCTAATTACATGAAACTTGGATTTCATATAATTTTCATGTATTGCAAAATATTCTTCTGAGTCTTAAAAATTTTTTTTAATGTAAAAAACAATTATTAGCTTGTGGGCTGTAGGGATACTGGTGATATGATGAATTTGGCCCTTAGGATGTAGTTTGCCAACCTTTGCTCTAGAAAAATGCCACTCCCCCCCCCAATCCCCCCCCCCACCCTCCGCAATCTACCCAGATAATCTCTACTCAGCAGTAACTTTTCTGTCTTACCTTTTGAAGCACTTACCCATAATCTTTCTATGACATTTATCATATCTTATCTTTTACTGTATTTTTTTCCTGTGCACTTCTTATCTTTTCCTTAAGCTCCTTGAAGGTAGGGTACAGACCTTCTTTCTCTGTGGATTACCTCCCATTTCACAGTGCTTTGCACAAAGCAGGCATTCAAACATATAATACAGAATGGATATTTAAATCTTGGGTGGTTGACAGTTGTTTTCATTGTGCAAAACTTACTTTTCTCATGAGACAGAACCTTAGGAACAGGGTGCTTTGTTATATGTGTATCATTTGGACTAGATTTCAGAAAAAAATTTTGAGAATTTTATAGACAAGATGAAAAAAGGAAGGCAAATATCAGTTCATTCAGAGATTGTTGGATAACAAATAACTGAACAAAGACTGTTGATTATCACCAACCTGCAGACTGGGCATGTGTCTTCAGTCAGGTCCTATTCAACATTTCTATCAGCAAATTGGTTAAAGACATGCTATATAATATACAGATGGCAAAGTTAAGCAGAGGAGTTAGTAGAATGAGTGACAAAATTCAGATATAAAACATTCCTGGCCCATCACTTATTCTCTCTGTGCCTCAGTTTTCTTATCTTGAAAATGGGCATGATAAAGGTTCCAGCTTCAGAGAGTTATTGGCAGGATTAAGTGAGGAAATGCATGTAAAGCTGGCAGAGAGGACTCATTAAATGTAGCTATCAACTGTTACCATTTTCTGGTGTGCCTTGAACTGTGGGCTAAATTCACAAGACACCACTGAATGGATATAATTAATAACATTTTGGCTCACAATATAAACAGTACAAGTTTGAGATGGAGGGGACCTGAAATGATAGCAGTTCATGTAAAAAGAAACCACAAAAAAAGAAACCAAAACCAAGCCCAATCCCTCTGGGATTCACAAGACACAGTGCTCTGTGAACCAAGGGTATCATTCCCTTGGGTTGGGGGAGTTAACATGGGGTCATAGGTGCAATGTCGTGATGAAGGCAGGTGAGGGCATTACCCCTGAAGCCAGAATTATGGGGCTGCCCTTTCTTACCTCTGAGACCTGGAGCCTTTCATTTCCTCCTCTAAATAATGGGGACAATGGTACTGCTATCTCAGGGATATCATGAGTGAGCAAAGGAAAACAGAACTTGGCACATAGTACCTACTATTCAACAAATTTTAGTTCCTCTCTACTATACTATGCAGAGCTCTGCCTCTTGGAGGGCTTATAAAGCTAGGTCTAGGTGCCAACCTTGGGTCACTAGCATCTTTTTATATTCGGAATTAATGTGCTTCATTTGGGGGAATCACACTTTAAGAGAATTAGTGGAAGGGTGGAATGTGGCTAGACAAGAATGATCAGCATGGTGGAAATGGGAGGTCTTGTGCCTCTTGGAGGGCTTATAAAGCTAGGTCTAGGTGCCAACCTTGGGTCACTAGCATCTTTTTATATTCGGAATTAATGTGCTTCATTTGGGGGAATCACACTTTAAGAGAATTAGTGGAAGGGTGGAATGTGGCTAGACAAGAATGATCAGCATGGTGGAAATGGGAGGTCTTGATGTGTGATAGGTAAAAAATGAAATAAATCTCAAATATTTAGCCTGGAGATGTTTTTTTCTCTCTTCCTCTCTCTTTTTTTAATGGGGGGGGGGGTGGGGAGAAGAAAGAGACATGATAATTGTCTACACACACTGTAGGAGATGGACTCCATTACAATCCACAAGACAGAATCACAGCCAGAGGTGGGAGTTCCAGGACAATAGATTTTGGCTTAATTTGAAAAGCCACTTTCTGATAATTAGAGCAATCCCACAGTGGAATGGGCTGCTTTACAAAATGATGAACCCCTTTTCATTGCAATTTGTCAAGAGAACTCTGATCTCCTCTCTTTTAATTTTTCGAATGTTCTTTGCGTTCCTTTGCTTTTCTTTTCCTTGATCCCTCTTCCATTCCTTATAGGACATTTATAACTACTTTGTCCCAAAGTTCTTTTATTCTCATTTCTCTTTCTTCCATTTCCAAACCCCCCTTTCTCTTGGTTCTCTCCACCCCCACTCTGAGCACATTGAGTTCAACGATGGAACTGCCTCCCTGAGTTATACGTGGCCCATGGCCCAGAATGTCATCAAGATCTGGGCCAAGATGGCTGCACAGACTGGCAGAGAAGGAAAGGAAAGTGAGGGGATTGCTGTGGGGGCAGAGGTACCACCGCGGTTCTCCTGTCAGGGTGGAGGGATCAATGGAGCCTCCTGAAAGCCAGGTCTTAGAGAAGCCTGCCTGACACTGAGCACTCAGTGGGGGATCTGGGAGCAGAGCCACTGTTCCTTCAATGAGGCTTTCCATGAATCCCCTGCTAGATCCCCTTAGGCACTGCCCTCATCTGTGTGCTATGCAGCCGCCTTGTCATATCGCCCACTTCAAGAACACTCTCGCATACCAAGTGGAGCAGAGGATTGAGACAACTGGACCGCTGGGTGAACTCTCAACCTGACACATGGCTATGTGGATACATCTGACAGCAGTGACAGGCCGGTCTCACCTAGAACTTTCAATTCTTTTCTTTCTCTATCCTTTTATACCTTCTGGGTCCCCTTTCTTTATCCTTGTTTCGTCTTCTCAATCCACTCTCTGATCCCACCTACCCAGCTTCTTTCTTGCTGCTTGGGGTTGATAGTTTCCTTCCCATTCTAGAGGCCCAAGTGCAATGTACCAGGGGGTGGCAAGGAGGGCTGACTCTCTCCCCTCCCCCAAGGGCCCCGCTACACTTCATACCGTGAGCTGGGGACTGCTGGATGTTCGGGCTCTTGGGCACAGTCAGACCACCTGGCATGGCAGTGATGATGGCTTGCTGATGCTGTGATGGGCCAGACCGAGTCTCCGACCCACACTTCTCCCCAGGTACCGCTTCCTTCCAGTCATCAGGGGTGCATTGCTGGGGCTGTTGAAGGACAGGACAGATATGATTTGCTCATGAATTGTCTCTGCCTTCCTGAACACATCCCCCGTTTCCGTGGAGCTTGGGTAGAAGGACATTAAGATTCAACCAGCCCCAAGTTAGAGAGAGGCCCCTTTTCTTTCCTGGAGTACTCAGCGAGGACTTTGATGCTCAGCCCACCCAGATACACATTCCAGTGGGGGCCGTGGGATGGACTGAGTGGTGTCCTCCCTCTTTGTTCCCTGGACCTTGGGATAGGCTTACTCACCACCGGTGAAGCAGGCTGTAGTTGTAAGATGACAGCCGAGGCGTGCTGGAACCTGCGCTGAGGGGTGTGGGCCAGGCCCTCGGGATATCCGTTGTGAGCCCCCGTGTCTGGTGTGGGAGGGGGACACTGCTGAGAGCTGCCAGGCTTGTGCAGGTTGGCAGCAGGGCACTGGAGAGGCAGGGCAGATGGGACTGGGCCTAGCGGCATGGCATGGGCTTCTGGGCTGGGTTGCAGGGCCAGGCTTGGAGGGACTGAGGCCAGCTGGGGATGAGATGGGGCTTGGAGCGCCGGCCGTGATGGCTGGGGTGGCTGCTGCTGCTGCTGTGATGGCTGCTGCTGCTGCTGCATCACAAACTGGGGCTGTAGCTGCTTTGAGGATGGCTGGGAGAGGAGCTGGTGCGGCTGCAGCTGAGCATAGGCTGAAGAGGGAGAGGCCAGGTTAGGTGGCATGGCTTGGCCTGGTCTTCTGCTGTGTGCCCCCAGCTGCGCCCCCTCCCACATCCACATAAAGAAGGCTCTCCAGACTCAATGTTCTTGCTTTCATCTCTTTCCTCCTTTGCCAAGAGCTTAGCCTGCCCATTGCGGTAGGGCCTGACTTTCTCTCTCTCTGTTTTCTTGCTTTCTTCCTATGCTGAAACACTGGGCCCTTGGCTGGCCCTCAAAGCCCAATGCAAAGCTCACCTCCTCTGTGAAGCCTTCTTGGGTCATTCCAGCTGTTCAGAGAAACCCTGGATACTGGAGGGTGCTACATTCTCTCTCTCCTCCATGCCCTGCACTTGCTTTGATCCATGTTTGCAACAGGTGCAGCCCATCACCCAGCCCAGCTCTGTAAGGATGGCTGTTAGTCACCCTCCTGGCTCTGCTCAGACCAGGCCCCCTCCAGGGAGGGCCTTCTGCACAGATAGTCCTCAGACTCTGGTGGGAGGCAGCCTGGGCTGGACCACAGTTTCCTCCTGTTACAAGTGGAGGACCTTGGGCTAGCTGTTTAACCTCTTGAGGCCTCAGATGTCTTGTCTGAAAACCAGAAACAAAAATAGCTCTTGCCCAGAAAGTTGTAAGGATCAAAGAAAGAAAGAAAAAAAAAACACAAAAAAACTGTGCAAATCAGAGAAAAATGACATAATGTGAACAGCACAGTGCCTGGGACACGGCCACGGTCAATCACTTAATTTGCATATTCAATCATATTATTAAAAGTCTTATTTCAGTCTTAGCTTAGGTTCTGAGTGTCCTGGGCTTACCTCTACCATAATGACGTGTATCACAATGGATAAGAACTGTTTCTTAGCTATCTTCCCTTACAGGTAATGAACCCCTGATGATTGGAAACAATCACGTTTGGCTTTATCTAGAACCTCGCATGATACCTAATAGTAGATGAGGGCTGAATAAATAAATGTATTGTTGTGGACTGGGATTCAGGGGTTGCCATTTGCTGCTTGCCCTTTCTCCTTCCGTTTTTAGCCAGGCCGGCTTGTGGAGGTAAGGATTCCTATATTTTCTCATCATCCCTCCAGTGTCCAGCTCATGCCTTATGGACAGGAGGGGTTCAGGAAATTCAGCTCAGAGATTGGGCATTCTCACCTTACTCACTCTCTGACTAGTGGCATCCAGGCCAGCTTAGCTTGAGGGCCGCTCAGTTGGACTGGTCTTGCCTAAAAGCTGTCCTCGGCAGAGACTCGTATAGCTGGAGGGCCGGCAGAGAGAGGCTGTGCCGTGCAAGTGCATAGAGGACCACGGCTGGAAGCTCACAAGTGGATTTTTACAACCACAGGCTCCCAGCCAATGAGGGGAATGCCAATTCTGGGTCCTGAGCTAACATTTAAAAAGGATTCTGTGACACAGGTGCAAAGGAAGCAGACTGCACACACAGTTAGGGGAGGTACTTTCTTTCTTGAATTTTGTCAATATTACACATAGGTTCCCAGCTATCTCATCACAAGCCCATGTGGAGTATCAAGCAGAATGCCAGCAGGAATGGAAAAGACAGGACAGAAACAAGAGGTGTTAAAGAGACACAAAACGCCTCTTGGTGACCTACTGTTGGAGGCAGAGGAGGGAATATGGATGGACCGTGGTTATAGCCTGGATGACGGTGAACTGTGGCAGAGAGAAACATGGACGGTAATGTGGTTTTGAGAGAAATGTGTGGGGCTTCAGGTGATGGTAGAACATCCAACTGGAAATTGCCAGCAGGCATTTGGTGATTATAAATTGACCCCGACCCCAATCTGAGACTTGTCTCCTAATTTCACCCTGAACGGCTCTAAACTTAACAATCAGGTAAAGACTGTTAATCAGTCAAACTTAGTAATCAGGAATTTTTAAGATGACCCTTGTTAAGACACCCAAGAGATACTGCAGAGGCCATGAAGTGCCTGGATAGGCTCTAGCAGTCAAAAAGATCTGCAGATGCAGGGAAGTATCACTGAAGACTCAAGTGAAACTTGTTCTCTCTTATTCCCAAACCATGAATTCCTATCCCGGGAACAGAGTCCGTCTAGGGGCTGCTGGTTTGAGCTGAGAGCTGGAGATGGTGCAGGTCAGAGAGGCTAAGAGGGTCAGAGGCTTGTCCTGCTACCCACTGGCTGTGCGGCCTGAGACAGGTCCTTTTCCTTCCCAAAACTTTAGGGTTTTATGAGACAAGAGGTTTAGGCTAGATGATCATACAATCTGATGGGGAGGGTGGCTATCATAGGAAAAGAGTTTAAAATTCGGGATTTATAATGTGGAAGAAGGAAGTTTAGAGAAGTTTCTAGATCTGTATAAAGAGTGAAGTTAGGCACAGTACACATGTGTTTACCAAGATTGGGAGAGGCAACTGTTGGCCTCCCAGCCCTCCCTCCCTGGACCTCCTCTCTGTCCCACTCTCCCTGACCCTGTGGTGCTGTGGAAGGCCTTGTTTTAGAAACAGATGATGCTAGTATATGCTGAGGCTGGACACAAAGCTCATGAAAGCTTAGAGAAGTTCATAGATCAAAGACTCCAGGATATTTTGGGGCAGGGGGAATGTACATCCTTAACTTTTCAAGGTTAATAAAAAGCAAAGACCATGATTTAACTCCAGCATTATGCTGGGTCAAATCCCTTTTATTTAAAGTGTTGTAATAACTTTCTAATTGGTCTTTCTGATTCCAGTTTCTTCTCTCTATAATCTGCCTTGTGGATAGATCACGTTAATTTTCCTAGGACACAGATCTGATCCCTGATCAAAAGCCATCAGGGACTCTCCTCTGTCTGTGGTTGTCTAAGGCCCCCGGTATTCAAGATCTTCTTACAACATAAACTAACCTTTCAATTTTTATTATTTCTTTGATCCAAGCAATCTTTACTGTTCGCTGCGCCCTGTACAGAAGTTTGTACCCTGTCTCACACTGTCTAGAGTGCCATAAATCAAATCCTCACAACCTCCCTTTCCTGCCACTTACCAGCAGTGGGAGGCTGGGCAATCACTGGACCTCTGGCTCATCATCTTTAGAGTGGGGTTCACGTTGATATCTACACTCAGAATTTAGGATTCATTTGTTTCCTCAAAAGTGCCTGGAATTTAGTAGATGCTCAATCAGTGTGGCTGTATGAATGAATGAATGACAGCAAGGTGGAACTCCAGCTTGTTTGTGCCGCAGAACTCCTCCCCTTCAGAGCTCGACTCGGCACGAGCTGGGGATAACCCTATAGGCCATTTTGGTTTTATCAGCACTCTGGTTTACTGAAGATCTTCCTCCTGTGTAACCTCTGCTCACTGCCTGCCTGCCCTTACCTTCGTCCACCCTGACTGCTCTGCTCACTGTCTGTACGGCATTCCTCTCCACTGTGCCCTTCTGGCTTCAACTTCAGTGCTTCCATTTTCTGGAATTCCCTCCTTCTGCCTCAGTGATCTCAGTAAGGCATAAGCTGCTTTGGCCCAGGTTCAGCTCATGTTCTCTCTCTTTGCCTTGACCCCCAGTTATGGGTTTTCCCTTGGAAGTCCTGAATGCTCTTGCTTTTATTGCTGATTTCTTTGATTCATTTGTGATTTAACATGTGCTATCTGTAGACACATTTCATCAATGCTTAAAAATTCTTATCCACCTACCATCATTTTAACATCTTTTGAATTAGGATGCATATTACAGTTGATGATGCTGATTTAATTAGTAGTGCTTTTCTTAGAGTCAAAAACATGGTGCATTTTACAATCAGTGGTATCTTAAACTGGAATACTTTTTATGCTTTTGTTTGTTTATTTCCTATCTATCTGGCCAGATTATATCCTTTTTGAGTCAAAGTTTTATGTTTCTTTTTTTTTTTTTAAGAAAAGACGTGCTTTAGTTGAACTAATGTTCAATGTTTCTTTTCCCTTCCACACTGTCCAGCACCATAATCTACATGTCTGTAGATGCTCAGCAACTGTCTGCTGTCAATCATAGTGAGGCCAGTGGATTCTCCTCCCTCCTGCTCCTCCTCCTCCGAGTGGATTCACCTCTTCCCCATGTGGGGTGGTTGAAGGTGGGCACTTCCCACTGAAGCCACCATACCAGAGGCAGCCGCATCCCTTTTCTCTACAGCTCAGATGGGGCATATCAGTTTTTGAAATATTAATGCACAGAAATCTCTCTGGGCCTTTATTTCCTCCTACAGTCCAGGGGCTTCATTTTTCGCTTGGAGCTCTTTTTGCTGCCCCCACCCCCCATTGCTAGAAGGCTCACCGCTTCTAGGGAACAAAAGCTTAGTTCCATGGGACCTCAGTTTTGGCTCTGGAAGGCCTCATCAGCCCTTTCTGTTATGGAACAGAGGAGGGGCAGGCCTAGGGCCTCCCTAAATTAGGGCCCAGCTCAATGGAGAGACTCTAGGCCAGCTCTTCTTTCCCGTCTGGTGCTCTAACCTTGACAGCCTCCTTAGAATCTGAAGAGACCAATTCCCCATTCCCCAAACAGTTGGCTGTTAGCAGCAAGAGGATTAAGGGCCCCTGTGCAGGAGGGCTGGCTGTGAGGGTTTACCGACACGCCCCCTTTGCTGCATCCACTGCCAGAACTTGTGACCAGTAACGGATCTCGATTGATCCTAAGTCTTCCTGGATGCGGGAGAAGGTTCACTGTCCAGAAGTGCTGGGATTCTTGTCTCAAAACACATGTGAGCTGCAAGCATCCCAGATGTAGGTTGGAGGTTTGCTCAAACACAGTTGTCTCTGAGCTGCAATACTTGACTAGAATTTGGAATTACCTGGACTACCAGTGAGGGGAGGGTGCTTGCAAGAGAGGAATGGCATAACTTTCTACTACCTACTGCTCTTCAGGGCTTAGAGAGTAAAATGAAGAGATACTTTCAACTATTCGTTCACTCAGCAAAAATCACTGAGCACCTACTACAGAGCAAGCACTATGTTTGATGCTGGCTAAAACCTAGTCCCTAGAATAGGTTTAGTGGAATACAGGTTAGC